TGGCCTGAATCTCATAGAGATCCGCCAGCCTCTTTAGTGTGGGACTAAAGGGAGTGCCACTGCGCCTGGCTGTCTCTTACTTTAGAATGCATGCTGAGCATGCCTAGAAGTGTTCTTATTCGCAGTTTTAAACTTTCGAACTCATATATCACAAGATTTTAAGCTAAGAATGCCTGCCAGTTGTGCCTTACCATTTTTCCTTCTTAAATTATGCCCTTGAACTGAGCATGTTTGGACTGTGCCTGCCCCTCAGGTGCTTTCCTGTATGAATATGCATAGGATGAGGAAACAAAATCCCAATGCTTCCCTTGTTGGAGAAGGGCACTGTCCCATGCCCTCCCTACCTGCTGCATGTAATAAATCTTTCTCTACCCTTTCATTTCTTGGCTATGCTTATTTTGGCTTTGGCTTACAAAGATATGAACCCGCTGTGCTTAGTTAGGAATATTCACTTACACAGAACATATGAAAACAATTATTGACTATACATATCTAAAATATGCTATTATTTGGGATAGGGTTTTTGAATGTGTCTCAAAAAATGACTTATAGGTATCTTCCTCGGATTGTGTTGGTTGAATTCTTAAGATATACATGTAAAAATAATCCCTGCACCTGTCCTGATGGATAGAGACTGGAGGATAACTTCATACCATTTCTGTCCTACAAGAGAGTACTGTTCAGGACAGTGGCCTCTGACTCTGTAATGTGAGACCAATTATATAAGACCAGGAGTCTACCCCAACAGCTGACGTTCCTCCCCTCAGACGTGCTGTCTGCAAGAGACTGACTGCTCCAAGAAACACGCAGTAAAACTCATTCACGCTGTAAATAGCAGAACACATGAATAGAACAGGAACACCTTAAAGTGTTCTTTGTCTATAGGATTTCTACACAGATGATAGTTTTTTGTTTTGTTTTGTTTCTTAAGACAGGGTCTCCCTGTAGCCCCAGCTGGCCTGAAATTCACTATGTAGACTAGGCTGGCCGCCATTTCACAGCAATCTGCCTGTTTCTGCCTCCCAAGTGCTGAGGCTAGAGGCATGCCCCCTCACACCTGGCCAGATGATGGTTTTTTTTTTTTTTTCAAACCAAGCTATTCTATTTTTTTCTTTATTATTTTTATCTTATGTGTATGAGTGTATTGCCTGCATGTATGTGAGTGCACTCATGTTGTACAGATGATGTTTTTTAAATGAAGGTGAAAATCTATTGTCATCTATGATGACTCTATTTTTTAATGGCAAGTCTAAAAGACAATTAGGTTTTGCTTTGTATGGCTTCCAAACTGCTGTACTGGAGGTCTTAGGGACAGTGTCACAGGGTTGCTTTGGCTATAGAAATCTAACTCTTCGCCCTACTCAGATTTGCAAGTGTAGCATGTGGCTTTCACAGATTCAGCTCAGTGACATCTGAGGGAAGCAAAGTTCTGGGTCACTCAGTGGGCATCAGGTTGCAAACACCCTGCTCCTCTCCATTCAGTGCAAACAAGCAGCAAGAATCCCAGTGTCCCAACGTAAGAAACTGGGTGTGCAACATGTCATGTTTAAGATGACTCCCGAGAAGTTTGAGGCTAATGATAAAATCCAAGACAGCAGCTTATGGGGCTGAGGGTGCAGCTCAGTGGCAGAGTCACTACAGAGTTCCATCTACAGCATCACAAAAGAAAACAAGAAGAGAACAGCTTGTCTCAGCATGCTTCTTTAGGGGTGTGTCAGAACACAAAAAAGTGAAAACTGGCCTGGACCCAGGCTCTCCACTGTTCTGTGACCTTGGGCAAATCCTCTATGTGTGTGTTCATATGTGTATACTCATGTGTATGTCTTAGGGAGTACAAACGTGTGCGTGTACATGTGGATATAAAGACCAGAGGCTGATGCTGGGGTGTCTTCCTCAATCATTCTCCATCATATTTTTTGACACAAGGTTTCTCTCTGAACCTGAATCTCACTAATTGGCTAGTCTGGCTGTCCAGCAAGCCCCAGGGATCCTCCTGTTTCCACTTCCCCAGAGTTGGGATTATAGGTCTGTTCTAAGTTGGTTTCTGTTACTGTGATAAAGACCACAATAAAAAGCAATTTGGAGAGGAAAGGGTTTATTTCATCTTAAAACTCCCAGGTCACAATCCATCATGGAAGGAAGCCAGGGCAGGAACCTAGAGGCAGGAGCTGAAGCAGATACCATGGAGGAATGCTGCTTACTGGCTTGTTTCTCCTGGCTTGCTCAGCTATGTTTCTTATAAAGCCCAGGCCCACCTGCCTAGGGATGACACCGCCCACTGTGGGCTGTGCCCTTCTACATCAATTAACAATTAAGAAAATGTACCACAGACATGCCCACAGGGTCCTCCTCTGTTTTGGGTTTGTTTTTTTTTTTGTTTTTTTTTGAGACAGGGTGTCCTTGTAGCCCCAGCCAGCTATGGGGAAATTCCTCTACTGAGGTTCCCTCTTCCCAGGTGCCTCTAGTTTGTGTCAAGTTGACAAGAACCAAAGCCAGCCCAAGATTCATGCCACTTCATCAACTTTTATGTGTGTTGTGGGAAGAGATCAAACTCAGGTCCTCATGCCTCAGTGGCAGGCACTTTACTGACTGAGCCATCTCCTCAGCCCTGAGGGCAAGTCCTTGGCCAACCGAACTCTATTTCCTTTTCTGTAAAGTAAAGCCCAGTACCTCATCCCCTAAATGCATGTGCGTAGGTGACCGGGCTCTTTGTTGGGGCAACAGGATGAGTAAGACACAGTCCTTAGGAGCCCCACAGTCAGGGTCTGCCAGAGGAAACCAATCCAAAGTCACCCCCAAACACATACCCATCCTCATAGTACTACCGTGATGGTATGTAACATTTATGGCCATGTGTGTTAGGACTCCTTCTGAAGATCATCTCTTGGCATCCTTTAACTGTCTGTGACAGGAACTCTTACTGGTCTCATTCAATATATGGGAAAACTGAGGCTTGATGAGGTCAGAGTCGTAGGGATAGAAGCAGTAGTCAGGAATCTGAGGATAGCTTGGCCTTCTTCCAATTCCTGGTCCTTCAACTAATATTGTTTTGACTTCCAACTGACCAAAGACCTAAGACAGACTTTAGAATTTCTATTTTTATTTTCAATTTCCACAAGGGTCATTTCAGAGTCTCAGCATAAAGTGATGTTTACCACGGAGTCCTATTATGATGTTTACTGAAGACCCTCTCTTGCTAGAAGGGAGTCTCTTGAAGCCCAGGCAAGGTGAGAAGACAGGGAACAGCAGGTGGTGGGGACAACAGGTTCTGCTCTGCCCTCCTGTTGGCTGATAACTGCATTCAGACCACTATACTCTTTCTGTTCCACAGCAAGCCCAGCCCATCAACCATCCAACAGCAAATCAACTCCCAAGAATACAGAATCACAGCAATAAATGGGTGCTCTGCATGTCCTGTGACCTTTAAAACTGATTGTAGCCCTGATTGACTTCCAATTTTGAGCTGAAATGAAATGGCAGTTGGGCATGAAGAAAGGCCTGGTGAGCCAGCCTAACAGGGCAATTGCTGAAGCTGCTGTCCTCCCCTCTCCCTCCCTCCCCCTTCCTTCCTCCTTTCTTCTCTCTCTCTCTCTCTCTCTCTCTTTCTCCCCCCCTTCATCCCTTTCCTTCCTCTCTTTCTTTTCTTTGTGTGTGCATGTTTATGTGTATGTAGTACATGTATGTGTTCCTGTGGATGTGTACACATGTGTGTGCAGGTACACTTACACACAAGTACTTGCGCATGTGGAGGACAGAACTTAAGTGTGGGTGTCTTCCTCAGTCACTTCTTTGAAAACCCTATTTTTTGACAAAGTCTCTCACCAAACCTGGAGTTCACCAATTCAGCTAGACTGCCTGGTAAGCAAGCCCCAGGGATCCACCTGTCTCCTAATCCCAAGGGCTGAGATTACAGACAGGCACCACTGCACCTAGATTTTTAAGTGGTGCTGGGGATTGAACTCAGGTCCTCACCCTTGTGTGGCAAGTACTTTCCTGACTGAACCATCTCTCCAGCTCTGCTTTCATTCACTTTTATTTTTTAAATTTAACTTACTACATAGTCACAGTAGGAAAAATAGAAAAACAGTTGACAAAAAAGAGGGGAAGACAGAAATCCCACCATAATTAATATTCTGGCCTTCATTCTGCCATATTTTCTTTCCAGTATAAAGATACACACATAAATAAAGGAAGAGATTTACTAATACAAAGTACTGGCTCACAGAAGCCCAACCATTTGCCATCTGCAAGCTGGGAACCTAGGAAAGTGGTAAGGTGGCTCAGAGGGTTGAAAGCCGGAGATCCAATGGTGTCTGTTTTAGCCCAGGTCTGAAGCCAGACAACCAAGAGGCAGACCAGTGTTCAGTGCATACAGGCAGAGTTAACTCAGCCCTCCTCATCTTTTGCTCTGTTGAGGCCCTCTGACCTGGAGAGGGCCAGGCCCTCAGTTCAGCCCACCACTTCAAATTCAAATCCAATTTCTTGAAATACCCTCACAGTTATACCCAGAAATAACATTTTCCAGCTCTCTGGGCACCCCCTGGCCCAGTCAAGCTGATACATGAATTAACCATAATGAAAGAGGGAAGGAAGGGAATAAAATGGCACCTAAGTTCAGACACAGTCAACAGTCAGGAGAACAACTACCTGAGCATCACACTGCTTCACAGTGTGTCAGAAATAATGGGTTATTCTTATGTCTTAAAGCTCGAGAAATAAACCCCTCAGATACAAGGTGACAGGGAAGTTGTCCCTGGGGGAGGGAAATGGCCAAGTGAATTACATCCTGTCAACTCTGTCATTCTAGAGCAGAATCTTAATATGTACCATTCCCACGACACACAGATACAGACACAGACACAGACACAGACACACACACACACACACACACACACACACACACACACAAATTCTGCAAGCCTCTGAGAGCTTCCTCCTTGAGACTGGGATAAGGATCAGCTTGTCTGAATAAGCTGGGGACTGTGAATCCAGCCACTTACTTTTCTGCTCTTGCTTGGCCCAGAACATTTTCACTCGCTGGCGGATGCACTTGTCCTCACGCAGCTTCTTCTGCCACTGACGCAGTTCTTGGATCTCAGGATCACAGCGAACCTGGGAAAAGCCCAGAGGCTTTTAGCTCATCCCCTTCTCCACACTACCACACATTACCTCACCAACTCTCCATGGAAAAGCCTTCACAAATCAACTGGATGTACTAGCATTTTGTCAAAGTTTTTTTTTTTTCAGCACCAGAGAAGAGACCCAGGGCCTTGAGTATGCCAAGCAAGTGTTCTACTGCTGAGTTACACCTCCAACCCTAGGCAAAGGTACTTTAGAGTCTCACCAAATCACTGCTCTCAATGACTTATCTACATCCCCAAAGCATACCTCACATTTGAACATACATTTATGCTTGTTATATGAAGATTTGCTATGCTAATAGTATGTTGAGAACATCCTAGATTTGTGCCATCTTATAGAAATATAACATAGTCACATGTGTAATTTAAAACTTCCCCAGAGAAGCAGGTGAGATTTTTTAAAATAATATATCTTATTTAACCTAAAATATCTAAAAGATTGTCATTTAGACCTGTAATTAATATAAAAATTAATATAAAAATTACTTATGATTGAGAGGCACGTGGTGGTTAATGCTTGTAATTCCAACACTTTGGGAGGCTGAGGTAGGGAGACTGTGAATTCAAGGCCAGCCTGAGCTACACAGGAAGACCCTGTCTCCAAAGAAAAATTATCGGGGTTGGGTGTGCAGCTTACACAAAAATCTGGGTTTGAACCCCAGTACTGAACAAATTGGCATGATGAAGTCCACCTGTAATCCCAGCATGAGGGAGGTGGAGGCAGGAGGACGTGAAGCTTAAGGTCATCCTTGGCTACACACGAACTTTGAAAGCAGCCTGAGAAAGATGAGGTTTTTGTCTCAAGAAAAAAAGAAAGAAAAAAAGAAACGAAGATTATTGCGGAGCTATTTCACCTTCTGTTTTACATGCTAAATCTTCAACATATGGTGTGTTTTTGCACTCACCACATACTTGGTTCGTACTAGCTACATCTGAAGTGTTCAGCAACCACACGTTGCTAGCTGGGAGCTACTGTGTGAAACGACGCAGCTCTAGACTGATCACAGAGAATGCCTGAACCACAGTTCCACTTCATACCAACTGACCAAGTGTCTGCTTCATGCTATGCTGTGCTGTGCTAGACACTGCAAATAAAGACGTGAACGGTAATGCCATGCTTGCTTGATTGCTACAGCTCATTTACTGAGTACTTACGTCCTAGGCGCCATCTAAATATTTAACAGTTTGAGGACTGGAGATGTGGCTAGGTTGGTAGAGTGCTTGCCTAGCATGCATGAAGCCCTGGGTTCCATCCCAGCACTGCATAAACCAGGTGTGGTGAACCGATTGGCAGGGTTGGGAATAGTTCCCCTTTAGACAAGCCTCCTGCCTCTACCTCCAGAATGCTGGAAGTGAAGGCAGGAAGTGCTGGAGGTACAGGCAGGAGGATCTGGAGTTCAAGGTCATCTGTCTCAAAGGAAAAAAAAAGTGAAAAAAAACAAACAAGAACAGAGAAGGTTCAGTGGTTAAGAGCATACACCGTTCTTGCACAGGACCTAAGTAGGGTTCCCAGGACCCATATCAGGCAACTTACAACCAACTGCCTGTAACTCCAGCTCCAGGGGATCCAATGCCCTCTTCTGGCCTCTATGGGCACCTGCATTAACATGTACATACCCACACACAGACACATATGCATACACATAATTAATAATAAAAAATAGGTGCTGTAGAGCTGGCTCAGCAGTTAAGAGCACTGGATGGACCCAGGTTCAGTTCCCAGCACCCACATGGCAGCTAACAACCATCTATAACTCCAGTTTCAGGGAATCCAAGGACCTCTTCTGACCTCCACAGACATTGTATGACACAGATGCACTTATGCACATGGAGTCAATACATTCATACACATAAAATAAAAATAAATATTTTTAAAAACAAATCTTCAAGCCAGGCATAGTGGCACACACCTTTAATCTCAGTACTGGGGAGGCAGAGGTAGGCAGATCTCTGTGAGTTTGAAGCCAGCCTGTTACATAGCGAGTTCCAAGCCAGCTGGGGCCACAGGGAGACCCTGTCTCCAAAAGACAAAAAAACAAAACTTCAAAAAATAATAAAATAAGAAGGAATGAAGAGCAAATAGGGCAAAATGGTAAGACTTGAACACAGCAGGTAATTGTTCCTTTAGGGTTCTCCAGAGGAACAGAACAGTCTGTGATGGAGCCAGAGTTCAGACAGGGCTCCAGCAGCCTTTGAGAAGCTTCAGAGTCTAACAGGAGCTATGGGAGTAAGCTCATCAAAGATGGATGTCAGTGAGTCTAATGGCAGCCACAGAGTCCAGCTAACCAGTGTGGAGTGAGCAGGAAACAGTTCAGCCCTGAGCTGAGTTTGAAGCGTGAACAAGAGGGAGGGAGTGGAATGGTGTTCCATCGAAAGGTGCCCATACAGAAGTGTGCAGGTACCAGGAAGTCCCGGGTGACCAGGGTAGACACTGAGTAAAGAGCTGTAGCAGGCACAGAAAAGCCACAGCCCTTTGCCCCCTTCACCCTGAGTCGTCCTCCAACTGTTCCACTTACCACAGGGGCCTCTTCTGGAAAAGCTGACACCAAGACTGGAAATGTGACTCTACATATGTGCATGTGTGTCAAGTTTATTTTGGAAGAGAAGTTAAGATAGCTGAAGAGTACCAGGTGACATCCTGAGAGAGGAACAACCACAATGCCCAAAGATGTTGCCACAGAAACACCCACATGGGCTTAACTATTAAAGATGGACACTGCGTTCCTTTCTTGATCAGCTCCATTCATTTAAGATGAGGCCACAGCTCTATATCCTTGGAAGAGTTCCCTGTACCAGAGTTAGTATGTGGACCTGGGGAAGTCACACACTCGATGTCACGGCCTCCTTGACCATGGCCTCTTTCAGCTGTCCAAAGGGCAGTCTGCTTGCTCCTCTACTCTTTGTGAACCCACAGCCAGGACCTAGCATGCATAAGCAATGAGGGAAGGCAGCTCAGAGAGATGTCATGAGGGGCAACAAGGCTTATCCAAAGGGGAATTGCTCTTCAGCCCTACCCACTGGTCCACTGTGGGGAGCCATGTAAGCAAGGCATCTGCTTCTTCAAGCCACCACTGGTTCTTGAGACTTCCCACCCAGGTCCCTGGCCTTCCCGCTGAGGTCACTGCAGTCTTTATTAAAGCCACCCACACATCCATATCCTAGGACACAAACAGCCCCTAAAAAGGCTGGCCTGAGTCATGTTTCACCACCAACTCCCTCCCAGCCCCATAACCACTTTCCTTTTGCCTCTCTTCTCCGTGCAAGGGCCACCTCGCAGTCTTCTCTTGGTAATTTTAGGGGCAGTGTGCTGCCCTTCCTCCCAGGGGACCATCACTGAGTCATCAGCAGAGCCCTGATGGTTGTCTTTTTTACGTCATCATGATAAAACACACCCTTTTAACTATCTAAAGTATACTTCAGCAGCACTATGTACATTCAGAACATTGTGCAACTATCACCAGTCATCCAGTTCCAGAACATTCTCATCACCCCAGAAGGAAATCTATACTCATTAATCAGTACTTCCCCCATTCTCCCTTCCTCCCACCTCAACCATGAATCTGCTTTAGTCCCAGAAGTCTCTGTGGATTCCCTATTACAGGTATTCCAAGTGGAGTTGTGCTCCTGTAGGGCCTTTTGGGTCTGGAGTCTTTCACTTATAACAATGTGTTAAGGTTTATCTACATTCCTTCCTGAATAATATTCCACTGTGTAATTATACCACAGTATGTTTATCTAGTCATCATCTCCTCATGGGTGCTGGGGTTGCTGCCACTTTTGAGCAGAGACCCTTTGCTTGGCTTGCTTCATTTCGACCCCAGGCTGGGATTCACCCTGGCAGAATATAGCAGCCTTGTTAGTTGCCTCTCATTGCTAGGAGACCATGGAGTTCTAAAGAAAGCTTTTGTGAGCCAGGGAGAGCAGGCACCCATTGAACTGGGCTAATCCTGGTGGCTACTGTCAGTGAGGGAAGCCAAGTCAGACAGCAGGAGTTGTGCCAATCAGCAAACACCACAGAGTTCAGTGTGGTGGTTAACGCACACACAGTTTCACTGCCAAACAAATGCTCTCTTTCCAGTGGCTTTCTGAAATTACTGTGCAGGGTCCGTTTGCTCTTCTATGATACACACAGCAACGTGACAGATACCATGGAACTCACTATGTAGATCACGCTGGCCTCAATCTGACAGAGATCCACCTGCCTCTGCTTCCCAAGTGCTGGGATTAAAGGTGTGCTCCATCACACCTGGTCTGAGATGTCAATTTTTTTTGGTATGATTTATTTTTCAAAAATAGATTTATTTTATTTCATGTGTGTGTGTGTGTGTGAGAGAGAGAGAGAGAGAGAGAAAGAGAGAGAGAGAGAGTGTGTGTATGTATGTGTACCATGTGCATGCAGATGCCCAGGAGGCCAGGAGAGGGTTGTCAGATTCCCTGGAACTGGAGTTACAGGCAGTTATGTACTGCCTGATGTGGTTGACAAGCACCAGACCCTGGTCCTCTGCAAGAGCAGCAAGTGCTCTAAACCACTAAGCAATCTCTCCAGCCCTAATGATTTATTTATTTTTCTTTATTTGAGATCAAACCCAGGGCATATGTTCTACCACTGAGTTATACCCCAGCCTGTCATTTTTTTTAAATGATTTATTTAATAACAACATACTTAGAAGAAGCATATCATTACAACACAATTGACATATTCAATAACGGTTTCCTGAGGTAGGATGCATCTCTTTCAAAATTGGCTGTAAATTTTTAGGTTTACAGTTGAATTATTACAGTTATACAATATTGTACTCAGTATAAACCCTATAAGACATAAATTAAATGATGTTTTAACCTTTAAAAAGATCTCCATTTCATTATTAAAATACACAGTTTCATACAGAAAAATTCTTTTTCAATGCAATTGACATTGGATGTTTGCACATGCATTTCTAATCTCTAAATATCTGATTATTACTAGTCACA